CATATCTAAAGCATTATACAGTAAATGGAAGTCTTGCTGCTGTTGACAAGTTCCCTAAAAATGTAATTTGTATCAAAGTGACTTATCTCTAATTGGCAAGTCTTAAGAGAGAAAGATGAAAAGGGAAAAAGAGAACAATCAGAAATATGCAGGGCAGTTTGGAAATTAGGTAATTTAGGGAAAATACAATGAAGACGTTTTTGTTTGTTAGTTTGTTCCCAGTTTTTATGTTTAGAAGAAGTGCTCTTCAGTTTTCAGGAAAATAATTCTCATTTTGGGAAAGAGTTAGTGAGTTGTAAACTTTCCCAGAAATCAATTTTCGGGGGACTCTGATGAAAGCAGACGGGCAGCGAATAGGTGGTGATGATGTGGGAAAGACTTCAGAAGAGAGAAGAATAAGTACTTAACTGACTTCTTATCCTATTCTTGCAGAAACAGCCACTTAGACAAGACTCTACTAGAATTTCTTGTTGGGAAGTTGGGAGATACAGAGCTTATGAAAAGCAAAATCAAGTAGTGTTTTGAGTTTCTTAGTCCCTGTTCTAACCCTATGCAGTAAAATTAAATGGAGTTTTCAGTAAATAGCTCCATGTCTTACCATTTCCTGTTTTCCCCAGATCTCCAAATGATAAAGGGACTTGGCTATGTGAAAGAGATGTGACACTGAAGTGACTGTCTACTCCACTAATTCTTAGCTAGAGCTGTGTATCACAGTGGCCTGGGAAAATTTTTTAACGATCTACAAGTCGCGGCTAATCCCTGAAGACTTTGATTTAGTAAATCTCATAAGGCCTGGACATATATATTTAAACAGATTTCCTCAAAGCTGGGTGCAGTCGTATATGCCTGTTGTCCCAGCTATTCTGGAGGGTTGAGGCAGGAGGATCACTTGAGCCCAGGAGTTCGAGCCCACCTGTGCAACATAATGAGACCCTCTCTCTTACCAATAAAAAAATTTTTCTCAAGATTCTGATGCACTCCTATTTAAGAACCACTGAATAGATAAATACAGTATATAAATTCCCATATTTCAAAAACTGAAGAAATCTCCAGAAAAATTGGAGTTTGATAGGTACTACTTCCTTCAAATCTCTCCTTTTTAATAATATTAGTCTGACTGTAACTGCCTTTCTCTAGCTCTGTGGGTGAACAATTCAAAAGAATATCATTGGCAATATCTATCAGCTTATAGAATAACACCTTTTTCCTTCTCTTTAACAATCGTTCACTGCCATTCAGAGAGTCTTTGGAAATGTGCTTATAGACAGTCTTTCAATAAGTAGAAGCGGGCCCTTCAGGATGTCACATTTCTTTGTTAACATTCTGGGGATGAGTTCAACAAATGTTTACTACAAGCAGGGTTTTCTCAATTAGAATAGTAGCAAATCTTGAACATTTTATTCAGGTACAGCTGTATGATGGACTATTTCTGTGTGCCTGTTAAGTTCATAGAGCTTTGGCATGATGAGGATGGCAGTTTTAAACACTGAAAGCCTTGAAGTTCCTAAGAATGTAGATAGGAGTGCTTTTACTAATCTAGTTTTATCAGTCCTATGAACTAACCCTAACCCTAACCCTACATAAGCTAACCATTTGGTTAACAATCCGGGAAAAATGAACACAAATAGACAGTAAATGAATAGATGTTTGAAAAATTCTTGAAGTGGGTATTATGAGTCTTAACAGCAACCTTTATTACACATTAGGGCTTGGTATTTTGGTAAGACCTATGATACTAAAGAAAGGAAAGATTTTACATACACGCATGTGCTTTATGCACAACTATTTGGAAGCATCTTTAGCAAATTTTAGAACACAAGGACTATAGTGAAAATGCAGCCCATAAATAGGTTTAGTTTGCCTCCAGAAATTGAGTCCACATGTAGAATTTAGGAGACATGAAGGAACCTGGGTTTCAGGCTTCCCCAAAGAATCAAACATATTATCCCTTGAACTCATGTTACTGTTTACTATACTGTGCAGATCTTCCCCCTTTATACAAGGTGTATGACCTCCAGTTTGCTCCTGTGCCCACCTAGGTGCCTCACATGTTCAGGTCACCTACTTTGCCTACATAAGCCTTTGAGGGGAGAAATCTTGTTTTATAGTATATTTTGAAATAATTTCAAGGTTTT